TATTTTGCATAATTCTAATTCAGATATGTTCTAGTTTTTTTTTTAATTGAGACAGTACAATATATTTGGACTTGATGTCATTTGTTTGAATGTGGACCCGTCTATTAAAGCATCGATTAATTTGATTAATCTAAATTAAAATAATACTAGAAAACGTATCTATAGTCATAATTAATAATAGGGAAAACTGTCAAATAGGTCCTCGTACTTTCGCGAAAAAGTCAATTGAGTCCTTCTACTATTTTTCGAGTCAATCAAGTCCATCAAGTTTGAAAAATTAACCAATTTCGTCATTTGAGCTGTAAGCAGCGGGTAACTCCCGGTAGCTTCTGATGTGGAGGTCCACGTGCCAATATTTTTAGTTCTTCTTCCCTAATCCCCTGCGTTTTTTTCTTTCATTGTTTTTTATCTCTTTCTTACATTTTTTCTTTGTTCTATTTCTTTGCAGCATAAACTGATGGCGACCAACTCTTCTCATTCACCGTCGTTGCTTCGCCGTCACCCACAACCTTTCTGCCGCTGCGCGCCGTCGGTCGTTCAAAACTATCCCAACCGTCATTGCGGACTGCTCTAATCTGGCACCGATCTTCCACAGCCAAACTTCGACCAGCCGCCACCAAGCGTCGTCCATCGCCGACACTTCCCCAACCGCCGTCACCAGCTTCGAATCGCTCAAATCTTTCCCAACGGATGGCACAACTTCTCAACCGCCGACTGCCATTCTTCGGGAAGAATGGAAGAAAAGAAAGAAAAATAAATTGGGAAATGCAGAAATTGGGGTGAGAGAGAAAATCAGGAAGAAAAGGATAGTGGACCGAAAGGAAAGAAAAAAGAAAGGGAGGAGGGAAGAAATGCACTGGTACGAAGCAAATTGGAAAGGGCTCTGCAAGAAAGATGATTCACTCGTTCAGCTGAGAAAGAAGCAGAGAGAAAAAAAGAAAATGGGAAAAAGGGGGAATGAAGGAAAAATAAAAAGTTTTGCCCCATGGGCTTCCACATCAGCAGGTATTTAAGGGTTACCGGCTGCATACCGGTCAAACAGCAGTTTTGGTTAATTTTTTGAAGTTGATGGACTTAATTGATTTGAAAAATAGTAGAAGGACTCGATTGACTTTTTCGCGAAAGTACGAGGACCTATTTGACAGTTTCCCTTAATAATAAGGGAGAGGAATTGTAAGCTGAAAATAGCGTAAATTATAAAATAAAATACTTCAAAGTCCATCTCATATAATTTCGAAATCATATACTCCGTATTAATTCCTCGTACAAATAAACACTATCTAAAAATTACGAAATTATAAATAAAAAAATCGATTATTTCTAGGCATTGTAAAAACTAGGCAAAAAATATTATTGATAACAATCTTTCATCCATTTGTACGTAGGATAAATTTCAATTTGACATATTTTTAGAAAGGGAGGGCGGGTAATTATTATGTTGTTTTTCATCATTTTAACCTTTGAAATTTTGAAAAGTAATGCGGGTCCTACAATATAAAAATACAGTATAAAGTAGATAAATAAAAGGCTAAAGTAGAAAATGAAAAAATAGAATATATATTCAGAAGCTAGCCGAGAATTAATATCAGTGAGTAATTAAAAGAGGAGATGTTTATGATAAGATGAGAATAAGGATGTATAAATTAGGGGTGGGCAAAAATACCGAACCGGCATGGTACCGAACCGAACCGATATGGTACCGGACCGAAAAACGGGGTTTGAAACGGATCTCAATTTTTTTGTCCCGACCGAACCGTACCGATTCTAAACAATGCCATGACCGGTTCTCATTTTATGAGAACCAAAACCGGACCAAACCAGAGCGAAGTATGATTTAATTATTTAAATTTACATTTATACCATTATTTTGACTAGTACCTTTACATTTTCACCGTCTTTGCTGGTTCATAGGAAGCCTGGAATCGGACCGATGTATGGTTTAAGCATTTAAATGTGCACTACTATAATTTATCTGAAATTTATTAATTATGTAATACTACCTTCGTCCCAAATTGATTTGCAAAATTAACTTTTTTTTGGTCAAACAGATTCATTTTATTCACTTAACTAGAATGTCAATTCTTAATTATATTTAATTTGGAGCTTGCAACTTTGAAGAAATTTCAATGTAGTTTCTGAATATGTTTATTTCAATTATTACAAATTGAATTAATTATCAATGAAGAGAATTTAACTCTAACATTGGTTGACCAAAAAATATTGATTTTGCATGTCAATTTGGGATGGAATGAGTATGAAAATTGATAAATTGTGTAGATTTTTGGAGGACGACTAAATTTTAATTGTCTCTTAAACACTTGAAAAAAGTGGCATTGTTTGGTATTGGTATGGCATGGTACCGTCCCGTTTCAAAATGAAACCGTACCGAACGGGTTTAGGTCTAAGACCGAACCGAACCGAACCGAACCGAACCGTTTGAATAGTAACGGTACGGGTACGGGTTCGGCCAAATATTAGACCGGACCGCGCCAACCCCTAGTATAAATTATTAATACTATGTATGTCCCGAATATTATGTAATTATGTTGATATCCATTAATCTTCATTCTCATATGCACTAGCTCATATAAAATGTAACTCTAACTTCCTTCACCTTATATACATTGTGATATGTGAGTGAATGGATAGTGTTTTGCCTTGATTTACAACCACTACTATCCTGATCTTACTTTGAATTAATACACTAGATTTGGGATGCATAAATTAGTACTACATATGTTCCAACTATTATTAAAAAAAAAACTATTATTCTTACTTTTTTTTTATCTAACTATTATTCTTACTTTGAATTATTATAAACATTTATGAATACAATAAAATTGTTTGGTTATCATTGGGGTTGAATTATACTCCGTATAAAAAGAGTGTTAATCATATGCATTCGTTAAAAAGAAATGGTGAAAAAGTTTTGTGATATCTCAAAAATCTAAAAAATGCAAAGAATGGAAGAAAATAAAATCAATTTTGTTCATCCCTAGAAGTAGGATGATGCCCCACTGTAGTTGTTCCTCATGTCAGTGACAACCCTCTAGTTTTTGTCAATTGTTTCAACTTTTTCATTTTTAATCCATTTTCTAAAGAATGTATGATATTTTTAATTTTCATGATCTCTCGTATGAAATCAATGTTGTATATGATAGTATGTAAAAAAAGAAAGTCCATCTAAAAATATGTATTTAAAAATAGTTTTCTTTTCGATTTTTATATACGAAGTACAATAGTGGTACTATTTGGAAGATAAAAAATAGTAAATTAGATACGAGTATATTTTTATAAAAATTGGACTATATCAAAAAAAGGCTATACAATGTAACAATTAAAAAAAGTGAAATGTGATGCCACATGTCAGCACTGGAGAGGAGGGAGGGGTGAACAAAACGGAATCCAAGAAAACTTTGGACCAATGAACATGTCTAGAATATAAAATAATACTCTCTCCGTCCCATTAGAAGATTCTCACTTTCGTTTTTTGAATGTCCCATATAAAGGTTCTCATTTCCATTTTAGGAAACAATTAACAATCTTAAGTGACAAATTAATCATTAAATATTAAAAATAATACATTTATAATATAACAATTATCAATACTAACTACATCATAATATATACTTATTAAAGTTATTTCTCAAAATATACCTGAAGTACTTTATTTAATTATTATCTAAATAACCATGCCATTTTGCTATGAGAACCTTCTAACGAGACGAAGGTAGTATCTAATATATGATCAAAATGTGAATAAAGTACTACTTATAAATTGTGATCTGTCACTTTTAAATAGAGATATTACCCGAAATAGGACTAAAAAAGTTTGCAAATTCCAAAATAGGATTTCCATGTTTTTTTTTCTCAAAATAGGATTTATTATTGTCATACTTTGGCAGTACCAGACTTCAAACATGGCAGTATTTTCCAAATTTAACAGTAATTAGTCCTATTTTGGGAATAAAAATATGACAGTCCTATTTTGGAATTTTCAAACTTTTTAGTCCTATTTCAGGAACTTCCCCTTTTTGGGTATCAAAACAATTGTCTCACTTCTATTTTTAGCAAATAAATTCACTCAAAAAGCCGCTACAGTACTGCTATAGTTTCAAAAAAACTATTACTCCGTACTTTTTAAAAAATGTACATTAGAGCATCTCCAATGTTATAATGTGCACGGTGCACATGTGGCATGAGAGAGATAGACACAAAAGATTGATTTTATGACATTTCTCTCTCCGTCTTTCCACGGTCTTATGTGTTTTTGGTAAGTTTTTCCCTGCAATGTCAATCACAATGACTACATCTAGACATTGTGCTTGACATTGTGAAGGGAAACTTACCAAAATGATATAAAATCCTTCAAATAAGGAGAGAGATATTTTATTTATTATTTTTGGATTGACTAACTTTTATGTCACATATGCACCGTTAACGTTTTAGCATTAAAGATGTTTTTAAACCTATAATTTTTCTTAAGCTACCACAAAAGCCTGCTGTGAAGGGAGTACTCCGTAAGATAATGTTCCGGCATATTCGTAGCAAATATTAATTCATTTTAATAATATTTAAAATAATAATAATACGGAGTACTACCTCCGTCCCTTAAAACTTTGCCAAGTTTGACCGGCACGGGGATTAATAAAGTAAAAACTGTGTGGTTGAGATTTGTGCAGAGGAGAGAGAATTAACAGAAACCACAAATTCTTTACTTAAAAGGGAAAGTGGCAAAGTTAGTGGGACATCCAAAAAAGGAAAGTTGGCAAAGTTTTAAGGGACGGAGGGAGTATTGTTTATATTTTCAAAAGAAAAATATACGACTTTCAAAAAAAAAAATACGAAGTCAGTAATTTGGAAAATGCTGGGACCACGTGTTTAGAAAAAAAGACCAACGGACATTTGGATTGGGAAAAGTTTTTCAAATAACAAAACTATACTCCGTATCATTTATGTTTTTGAGAAAAAGATTACAAATACTCCGCATTTTTTTTTTGCTTTTGCTTTTTACTTACCACATAACCGACCTTTAAAGGCTTTAATGAACAACATTCTTTCTTGATCGGATTTTACAACAACAATTCTACTATCTCAAATCAATTTGCAGGAGTCTGAGATTCTACTTCTCTTTCTCCTTCTCGTTTTTAATTTTTCCTTTCCTTTTTGTATTCATTAATCCGCCATTCTTGAGCTTCAACATTGGATTCTTGGAGCTGGAAGTCTGGAACATGAGCGAAGTGGGGACCGCACTTTCTGAGCGACGCCGGGTATGAATCCCACCGCCGCGGATCCAACCCAGCCGCCGCCGGTTCCCCCATCTCAGCCGCCGCGATCCTCCTTCAGCTGCGACCACCACCCAGATGAGAAGTTCTCCGGCTTTTGCCCAGAATGCCTCCGCCAACGCCTCACCACCTTAGACCAATCCTCATCTAACAACAATCCTTCAACCTCCCGCCGCAACTCCACCTCCTCCGCCGCCGCCGCCATCAAATCCCTCTTCTCCAAGCCCTCGACTTCCTCTGCTTCTCACCTCCCCCCTCCGCCCCCTGGTAAATCCTCCAGACCCGCCACATTCATCCCCGAGCTCCGCCGTACAAAGTCACTGTCCGCTTCAAAGAACGAGTCTTTGAGCCTCTCCGCCGCCGCCGCTTCCGCCGCCGTTGAGCCCCAGCGCAGGTCCTGTGACGTCAGGGGACGTAACACCATCTTCTCTGTTGAAGAGGGATTCAAACCTCGCGGCTCCCAAAACCCTCATTCCAAAGCAATCGCAGAAGCCATTAACGGTAGCCAAGAAGCAGAACACAGTCAGCACTCCGGAAACGATCAAGAAATCACTGAGCTTCAAGAAACCCAAGCTGAAAACCCAGTTAGAGCAGGCCCGGATTATTGGGAGATCGCCGGAGAAGAGGGTGTGGAAGGCGATATACTGAACAAGCCCATGAAGGACCATATTGACCTTGATTCGCAGACGAAAAAGCCTTCTTCTTCATCTAGTCTTGCAGGAAGCATCTTGTCTACTGCACTTTTGAGTAAGAAATGGCAGAAATGGAGAAAAAAGCAGAAGCTGAAGAAGCAAGAGAGTAGTAATAATGGCAAAAGTTATGCTGCTTTTCCGGTTGAGAAGTCAGTGTCGAAGAAGCACAACGCAGAGATCCAACCCGAGATGGCAGACTATGGGTTTGGGAGGAGATCTTGCGACACCGACCCACGATTTTCCCTGGACGTCTCTAGGATCAGCTTTGATGGTCCCAGGTACTCCCTCGATGAGCCACGGGCTTCTTGTGATGGGTACTTGAACGGGAGAACAATCCCATTCCCAAGGACGATGGCGCCTATGGTTTCAGTGGTAGAGGATGACGCTCCGTTTGTACATGTTCCACGGGCTGATACCCAAATTCCCGTCCTCGATGAGGACTCGGCTTCTTCTGTAATGATGAACTCCACCAGCAGCGACGAGAAATATGTGCCTGGTGGTTCTGCTCAGACTAGGGACTACTATCTCGACTCTTCCACGAGGAGGAGGAAGAGTCTTGACAGGTCCACCTCTATTAGGAAGACAGCTGCAGCTGTGGTGGCTGAAATCGACGATATCAAAACAGCCCATTCCTTTCACAGGTCAAAGGGGCCGTTGACAGGCGAGAAGGATTCACTTACACATTCAAACTCCATGAGGGATGATGTGTCTGAGACATTTGAATTGACAAGCTCAAAAGATAGCTCGTCTATGATCGGGGGTGCAGATGGAACGAAGAAGGGCATGAAGAAGTCCAAGAAATGGGCTTGGAATATTTTTGGCTTTATATATCGGCGAGGAGGCGGGGAACAAGGATGATGATAATGATGATACTAGATATCGATCCTGGCAAGACCAGCAAGGGGATAGTAGGAATGGGAGTGGAGGAGCAGGGGCTAACAGGAAGCTGTTTCGAAGTAATAGTAGTGTGAGTTGGAGAGACTCGACTAACAATTTAGGCGCGTTTGAGGCTGCAAGAAAATCTAGTGCTGAGATGAATAGCGGGAATGGGAAAGTGAGGAAGGATGAGTTTGTGTTTGGAAGGAACAGGAGTGCATGCTATTATACCAACCGCTTTGAGAATGGACTTAAGCCAGTCTTGACTTGACGACATATGTCTGAGGAAGTCGATGAAGTTGTTCCACCATGAAGGAAACAAAAGCAGCACAAATCGGCTCGAAAACAAATGTTGGAAGTGGCACTCAGTTATAGTGAGCTCCTAAGGTGTTTTAGTTGTTACACAGTCTTTGGTTAATTTAATGCTTGTTTCTGCGGTTGCTATGTGTATTCAACCATACACACAGTTTTCTTGATGTTTGGTTGCTCATCACACGGCAATTTCTATCTGCAATTCCACTTTTGAATTTACATTATAATAACAGCAAAACTTATTTTGCCTTCATGACAATCGGTTTACATCTTACTTCCTTTCTGTTTTTAGCTGTGATGATTTTCTGTTTCTTGTATTTGTATAAGTGAATGGTTGCTGTTAGCATTACCACCAAGATACTACCTCTTTTTCGAAGTAAACCTACATCTTTAACGGTTAATTTTAGGGTCGCCTTGTTTATTTAAGAACTCGGTTTTTCAAGTAACAATCTCTAGAGTGTCAATTTTCAGCAAAAGAAATGTAGTACCTTTGGTAATGTTTATTAAGCTAAAATAAAAGAATCTCCTACATTCTGGGAAACAGAAAGTGTTTGGTAAAACCCTTACATATTCTGCTTATTCTAGACTCTATGGATAAGCAGAATATGCCAAAATGGCTACCAAAATGGCTACCTCAGTTGAGAATGTGTCACAAATTAAAGAATGCCTATTAAAAAAAACCTTCTGTTTTTCCTCATTTCCAGTGAAGCAAATTAAAGCTTCTTTGAACACTCTAAAAAAGCTTTGGGTGGTACTGGGCATTAATATCCTCTGGTTTTGATGGAGTTTTTCAGTAACCAATTATAGTAAATGGAATTCGACATAATTGTAACATTAGACAAGGACCTGTGTGAAGTAGTGTAGTTGGAATGGGCGCGCACAAGATTCATGATACTCTATTTAAACCACCAATGAAGATCTAGCTAACATCTATTCCACCTCTTGTGATATAGCTATTTTTGTTCTTAATGATTGTGGTCCAATATCACCAAATAAATGCTCGATACCAACTACATACACAAGAATTTTTAGATATAATGTGATTTAGAAATGATTCCAAATATATAATCAAAATATAAGTAGTGCACAAAAACGTGGTCTAGTAACTTTTAGTGATTATAATTATATTCAAAAGTAACATGATAATAACTACATAAAATTTACTCGTAGTAATTTATAGTCACATTTTTTGTCCACAGATTTTATATTAGTAATATTTTAGGAAAAACTTTCAATCTTTTATTATACAAATACAATCTCTTTGGTAACTCCTTTATCAGTTTATGGTTTTATCAGCTAATTCATTTCATCAAATATATAACTTTTGTTTTTGCACGCTAAATTGTGTAATAATAATAAAAATAAGGTTAAAGTTACTGCGTACTTTTTAGCTATTATCATATATTTTATTTTAATAAAAAATATATCCTATAATTATTTCATAGGTTATCAGTTGCAGTCACAACATTGAAATTGTCTGAATCGACTAATTCTGCTGAACTTTTTGAAGTTGTGACTGAAGTGGTTTGATTGGCTGATTCTAATGATTTATAAAGAATTTATATTTAAAATCTATTTTACTATAAAATAAAGAAATAAATATATGAAAAATAACAAAATGACTATCTACTGTAACATGAGCTAGTTCAGACAACAAAATAACTCCAACTTTACTTATTTTGATTATTACGTAATCTAGAGCGCGAAATCAAGTTACGTGTTTGATGAAAATTTGATTGATAATGCCGATAAGTCAAAAATTAGAGTGACCAAACGGGGTCTAAATTTGGGATGAATCCGTCTACTGTTAATCAAGAGTGATGTAACGAAAACAAAATTAACACACAGACATAAAGCTATCTACATATGCTTAAATGGATCAACTTTAAATATTCAACCATTTTTCTTGTACACAAAATTTGTACATATTTTTTTACACATTACACGTAATTATTTGCGTACCTGCATGAATTACGTGTAAATGTGTAATCTGTGCGAAACGTGTGCAACTAGTTTTTTTTTTAATGTTTGAGATGAATGGGTGTCACAATTTGCTTCAACCTTCGATTAATTATCTCATCACTAAATAGAGGATCAATTTGCTTTATACTCCGTATCATTTCTTATTCAGGCCCTGTATAGGGAGTATAGCACATTTTCAGTCCCTACACAAGTAATAATTCAAAATATTGAGATATCATGTTGATGCGCTATTGTGCTACAGAGCTCACAAACAACTTTATAACGAATTCTTTTATTATACTTTTATTTTATTTATGCACATTCAGAGTCATGTTATCATTTAATAATTATCACGAAAGCTGTTTTTCCTTCAAAAAATTATTAACAAATAAACTAATATAAATATTGAAATCGACAGAATACAGTCAATTACTCTTCAAAATTAGTTTACGTAGTTACAATTTTGCACCCTACCTACTTTTATACGTAGTGTCTAATTTTATATTTGTCAGTTTCATTTATGTTTATTGCAGGTTCATATAATATTTGGGATATGTTTTAAATATGTAAATCTAGCTAAAATCGCTTCAATTTGATGAAATTGGTGAGATTTTGATCAAAGCAAATGGATCTGTTAAATATGTTGAATTATGAACAAAAATTAAATATATTTTACTCAGGGCCGGTCCCGAAGAAATGGAGGCTCTGTGCAATAAAAAAATGGGCTTTTTTCTAATACAAACACACATATAATATGAGTATAAATTAGCATTACTCATATTAGTAATAATTTACTATTAAGAATGTTTCTATTTAGATTGAATTTTTTTACTCTCGTCTGATTTGGTTTGGTGTGTTTATTCTAGTCTGATCGGGAAGAAGTCTGGTCTCTGTGTATTTTATAACGTAACTATATAAGTTCGATACAATCTTGTTTGGTCTGATCTGGTTTGAGATTGAAATAAGTCCAAGTAGAAACATTCTGATTTATATCAAGTACGAGTTATTATTGAATAAAATATACAGCATATACAAGCATTCGTTAACAAATACATTTCATTTAAAAGAAACATCTTTAGAGCATATTTTAGTGATCTATTATAGTGCAAAAACTAAAAAATCGACAGCCTTATGACCTCATAATATACGTATAACTGTATAAGCTCTAGGCCGGACCTAATAATATACTCCCTCCGTCCCAAAAAATTCTTCCCACTTTGACTTGGCACAGAGATTAAGAAAGTGGAATAAAGTGGAAATGTATGATTGTGGTTGTGTAAGAAAAAGGTGAAATGAATGTAAACCACACAAATTGTCCAAATAAGGAAAGTGAGAAAAAAAATTTGGGACGGCCCAAAAAGGAAAGTTGAAAGAATTTTATGGGACGGAGGGAGTACTACGTATATTGTTAATCTAAATTGAAAAATTAAGAATTCTAAAAGTACTAAATACGGAGTACTGTGTAAGCTCTAGGCCGGTCGTGGCTTGGGAATAACTACGGTACTATGTACGACAGTATTAATTACAGAGTATTTAACTTTACAAATTACGGAGTACATTAATGCTTTACAATTTAAATGGGCCGAGGAATTGGCGCAACGGTGCTACGAGAATACAGGACCGAGAATAATGGCAGGAGTTTGGTTGATATTTTTATTGGGCTCTAATAGTTCTACTATTAATATTTGGGTGATTCTATATACAGCCACAAAATGACTAATCACAGCCACAAAATTAATTTAATTAAATAATCTATTTATTAATATCAACTTTGCCCCTAAACATATAGGTATAACCCCTCCAGTTAGCCTCATCCATCGTTCCTAAAATAAGCTGATTGATGGGGTCGAATTCCTCCATTATCCATACCTTTCTCTTCGATGTCTTCTTCCCCATTCTCCGCCGGATTTAGACTTCTCTTGCTTGTTTTCCTTTCCATCCCCGCCGGATTACTTATACAGCACGATTAGCCGATCGGCCTTTCTTTTCTTCCTTGCCGTCCCCACCAGACCGGCTTTGCTCGTCTTCCTCCCCCACCCCTTCCAGAAATTTGTAGTTCCAAACCAAAAGGAAAAGTGAAAAACTTCCTAATTTTTACATCTTCTATTAGTCTTTCAAAAAAAAATCCCATTAGATCAATGGATCCCTAGATAGATTAAATCTTGCATTCAATTTTTATTTTATGTGCTCAAGTGCGTTTGTTTTCAATCGTATTGTTACGAGAGGTGGATTAAGAAAGAAATCTACAGTAAAGAAATTGATCACTTTTTGAAGACTTCTTTAATTTTGGATCCCAGCAGCGCATTTGAGAAGTAGATTTCAATGGCAGAACGACGTAATGCTCCACAAATGTAAAACAGAGTAGCAAATTAGCATTGATTAGAACTCCAATTGGTTGGGTTGAATTGAAGCAGCGATGATGGCGGGTGATATACGAAGTATATACATCAGGGCAAATTAGACATTTAGAATAACATTTTTAATTAAAAATTAAACATGTGATTGTAAATAGCAAAATTGTGGCTGTGTATAGAATTGCCCTATCATGGGCCCTGTGCGGTAGGGCTGCCAACACATGCTTTGGGCCGGCCCTGATTTCACCAGTACAACAAAGAAAATATTACGAAAAGTAGCTAAAATGACTCTCTTTAGCAAATTTATTCGAAACTGTAATTACAACCTTTCTTATTTTTATTATAACAAAATTGAGCATGTGACATGAACAATTACTCTCTCCGGCTAGGTCATTTCTTATATTTTGTCATTTTCACTTTTTTGGTTACCTCTAAAAATTTTGGCACTTTCTCTTTTAATCAATGAATTTGTGGTTGGTATTACATCTTCTTCAATTCTCTGCTCAAATATCAACTACACATTTTTCACTTTATTATTTCTCGTGTCGGTGAAAATTGACAAAATTTTGAGGGACAGAGAGAATATGTGTTTGATAAAAAGTTTTTGTTTTTTATTTTTTTGATCATCAAAACAAACTGCTTATATTAATATCGTTATGACTTTGATCGTTACAACAAACTCACAAAGACCAACCCTGACAATAACTATCACTAACCAATTAACACTATCAACCATACGGCTAGACTCAGAGACGATAACCCCTGAAAGAGCAATACGAATCGCTAACCACCAAGCAGGTTTGTCACAACAATCACTGGCCATATAGATCTTTCTAACGACATAATATCTAGCACAATTTTCATTCCTTTTTGTAGACATAAAACTAAAGACATCAACAAAAAATATTGCAACATAAACAAACTTAACATGTACATAAGACCATAAAAAATAAAACAGATGACAAATACTCCAAGCTCTTTCCTGCCAATATTCTCGAAGTATCATTATTCAAATCTTATCACCTCGGTTGCTCTAGGGCGGCGGTTC